GCCCGCGCCTGCTCCCTCCGCCCCCTCGGACCGCGGAGGTTTTCGCCGCGAGTCCCGGCGGCGTGCGGGGCTGTCGCTGGTTCCTCTAAGCCCTAGCGGACCTGGGCTCAGGGGGCTGTGAAAGCGGGCAAACCTGTATCTTTGTGTAACTTCCTGTATGCCCTGCTTTGGGTGGAAGTTTTAAATTTACGGATCTGTTTTCCTCTCACGGCCGAGCTGCTTGTGGGCGGGGATTTTGCGTTCGGGCGTCTCCGCCGTCGGCGGCCGGCGCGGGGGGCGCCTCTGCGTGGGCCCCGCAGCTCCTCAGTTTAGTCTCGGGCCCTCGTGGGCACGTCCGGGGGGGGGGTAGAGGGGCCGGAGGGAAGGGCGAGGACTGGAAAAGGAAGGGAAATCTTCACACGCTCAGGGTTTGTTGAATGAACAAAAAAGGTAGATTTGTAGTGTGTCAAGCCTTAGCCAGAGATTATTTAGAGCCAGAGAGGTGGGATGGACTGTGTAGTCACTGTGCGCAGAAGGACTTGTAACTCTTCCAGTTTATTTCCCAAAGTAGTTGTTAGTAATTTTCTTTTAAAATGGCCTTGGAGTTGTTCTTGGAGCAGTTTTTTCAAGTTTGCTCTTATTAACGGAACTCTAGCTTTACTGGAGGGGATGTTTCAGGAGCCCAGGATTGGATTAATATTAATCCTTGTTTTATGACATGCTCTCACCTTTGGTCTATGACTAGCCGTCTCTTTTTTTCTTCTTTTTTCATTTAATTACCATAGCCATTTCGTAATAAAATGGAATAGAACACCTGTGAGCCCACGTCTCGACCTAAGTCCTGGAAGTGGTTCCCCCGCACGGCCCGGAAGAGCAGCTTGAGCAGCCCCCCACCCGCTGAAGCGCATATTCTTGCCCTGCCCCACCCAGTGCCGAATCAGCCTGGGGGACCCGGCCGCCAGGGGGCGTTAATGAGCTCTCCAGGTGATTCCGAGGCACGCGAAGTTTGAGAACCGCTGAACTCCATTACCAGTGACTTAGTGTGTTCCTTTCTCCTGGGCTTCCTGTTCTCCCGGAGGTAATCATTGCCCAATTCTGTACTTTTTTTCTTCTCACTCATGTTATCACATATGTAGTATGTCTAAGCAACATACTGTTTCATTTCGCTTGTATTTAAACATTTTTAAAAGGATATCATGCTACATGTAGTCTTCAGCTTGCCTCTTACTGAGCATTTTGTTACTAAGATCATCCATGCTTTTGCCTGTAACTCTAGCTAATTCATTTTGACGGCCTTGTAATAATTCATGAATGGAGGCATACAGTAAGCTGGATCTGATTTCTGTGGTGACGTATAAAGCGGACCATCAAATTATAGATAAGCACAACAGATATCCTTTGGGTATTTAGCTGATGTCCTCCATGTGACCCAGCAGTTTAAGAAGGGCAAGTGAAGGATAGGTAAAACTTTGAACTGGAGGGTATGTACACCCTCCAGAACTAGGCAACAAATCCAGGCTAAGTGTCAGAGAAATGAGGTTCTCCAACAACTCGGCCCCCTCCTCCCTGCTCCCTCACGTTGCATGGAATCTATTCTTCAGCATACAAACATACTTTTTTTTCCTATCTTAAGAAGAAATAAATTCTCAACCACTGCTGCTCCATTTCTTTCCTTCCCTTTGTAGCAGAGCTCCTTGAAACAAATGGCTGTTGATGCACATTTGAGTGGTTCAGGTTTTTCCTGTTAGTAACGTTCTCATATATATTTCCTGGGACTTATATGCTAACGTTTATCTTGCATATATATCTAGGGGTGATATTGCTGGATCATAGGGGATGTGAATGTTCGATTTTGAAAGATAATACCAAGTTGTTTTCCAACATGGCTGAACAAACTTACATCCCCATCAGCAACGTACCATTAAAGAGGCCTCTCCAACACTACTACTTAATTTTTTTGCCAAACAAGTATAAAATGCTATCTCGCTAATGTTCATAGAAACAATATTCACAATAGCCAAAAGGTGGAAACAACCCACATGTCTTTCACCTGATGACTAGATAATCAAATGTGGTGTAGCCATACAATGGAATATTATTCAGCCATAAAAAGGAACAGAGTACTAATACCACCACATAGATAAACCTTTAAAACATTATGCTAAATGAAGGAAACCAGACACACAAGACCACATACTGTAGATTCCATTTGTACGAAATGTCAAGAATAGACAAATGCATAGAGACAGAAAGATTAGTGGTTACCATGATGTGGGAGAAAGTTGGGAGAGTGAATGCTTAAAGGATATGGGTTTTCCTCTTAGGGCGATGAAAAGTTCTGGAGCTAGATAGTGATGACCACTGTACAATATTGTGAGTATACTTAATGCCTGAATGGTACACTTTAAAATGGTAACTTTTATATTATGTATATTTTATGACAATAAAATGTTATCTCACTGTGGTCTTGATTTGCATTTCCTTTAATAGAAGTGAAGTTGAGGCATCTCTCCATATTTTTATTAACTATGTATGTTTCTTTGCCTGTGAAGTACCTATATATATTTTGTGTCTACTTTTCTATTGGCTTGTATTTTTCTTCATTTGCAGGAGTTCTTTATATATTCTTGGTACTGTTCCTTTATTGGTTGATATTTTGCAAATATCATGTACCAAATAGTATCTAGTCTCTTCACGTTAAAGAGTGGAAGTTCAGTCATCAGCTATGAACTAGACGTCTGCATTTTTCTCCTCACTGACTGGCCTCCCTCCATTCTTGCTCCCCTGCAGACCGTCTTCCTCAAAGCAGCCTTAGTGACTCATGGAAAATATAAACTGATGTTACTTGCCAACTTCAGACTCCTCCTTGAGTTTTTTTCATTTGATTATTTGATTCTCCTTTATTGCCTACAAAATAAAGTCCAAATTCCCTTTGTATGGCACGACCCATTACAACGTAGCTCCTGCCTCCCTAACAGCTTAGTCTTCTTTCACATTTTATGTTCTACTAATTTTTAACTGCTTCATGTCCTTCAAGTGTATGCCATACTGTTTCATGATTCTGTGATACTGCTCATGCTTGTCCCTTTTCCTGACACATGCTTCCCACCTTTTTTTTTATTTAATTGATTTTAAAGAGAGAGAAACACCGATTTGTTGTTCCACTTACTTATGCATTCATTGGTTGCTTCTTGTATGTACCCCAACTAGAGGTTGAACCTGCAACCTTAGCGAATCAGAATGACGCGCTAACCTACCAGGCCGGGGCACTGCCCATCTTTTTTTTTTTTTTAATCCCTACCCAAGGATATTTTTCCATTGCTTTTCAGAGAGAGTGGAAGAGGGGAGAGAGAAAGAGAGAGAAACATTGATGTGAGAGAGACACATCAATTGGTTGCCTCGCACACGCACCCCAACCAGGGCTGGGGATTGAGCCTGCAACCGAGGTATGTGCCCTTGTCTGGAATTGGACCCGGGACCCTTCAGTCTGCGGGCCAACACTAACCACTGAGCCAAACCAGTAGGGCCACCTTTATCTATCTTGTGCCTACCAATCCTCAAGACAGTTCATATATCATCCTCCAAGCTGAGTTGGAGGCCTCTTCTTGGGTTCTATAGCATCCCACGCATGTTTTATCTCAGCAGCTACCAAGTCAAATTGAAAATATCTGTTTATAACTCTGCTTTCACCATTAAACCATAAGTTTCTTCAGTCATCTTGTATACCCAGCCTGCATCTAGTTCAGTACCTGGACGATAACAAGCACTTAATATAGTGAGTACTTAAATAATCTTTAGGCACTGCAATAAAAACTAGTGAACTTCAAATATTCCATTTTCTACCATCCGGGAGCTCTCAGCCCATCATACGAAGAGAACATAAAAAATGGCAGGTGTGAAAGCACTGTGAATAGTCTAACAGGTCATACTGGGTCAGAGTCTGCGGTCTTTTTAGCCAAGTTTACCCAGAAATTGCTTACCACGAACCATGCTCACCCTTGAGAATGACAGACTATGAAATTTTCCTCTGTTAAAAACATTTCTGAGAAGTAAACTATTTAAAGACAAGTAGGCAGAAGGAAGAGACAAGAGGTCATAGTGATCTACAAACTAAATAATCCAACCCCTCCTTTTGAGAGTTTTCACGTGCACTCTTCAACGTGATTGAAAAAATCTTTTCAGGCTGTGTTTCTAGAATCCAAAATGTGATCAGGGTTTGTTTTGTAAATAATGGGAGTGGTGGTAGAATCCCTTCCTTCCTATTACTACTCTCAACCCTGTTTTATAATGTAAACACATTAAATTTATTTTGTGCTATTAGGCAGGCATAGTGTTAGGACGTGAGATAAGATTATCTCATTTGACTGTCATAACAAGCCTATGAAGTAAGTACTATTGTTAACTCTAATTTATAGGGGAGGAAATTGAAACTTGAAGAGGTCAAGTAACTTGCCCAAGATCACGTCTCTAGTAGGACTGAAGCAGGACTGAACCCAAACCGTCTGATTCCAGGGCTCTCAGATTGGATGAACGCATCATACCACCTGACCTGTAAATGCTAAAATGCAATAAGCACTCATTACAATTGGCCCATCATAAATTGTTTTTGACTTCAGGCAAATGACAGTTTATAAGACTGAATGAATCAAGTTGTCAGTTTTGTTGTGGTGTGTTTTTTAAATTATAGCTACTTTGGGACCTGCAGAGTGTTCTTAGTTACTATCATAAGCCTTCTAAAAGCAGAGTATTTTAAACTTTAAGGATCTTAGGAAAACTATCCACATATCTGCCTCTCCTTTGCAATTAAAGTATTTTTATTAAAATATTTTAATATTTCCTTTTTATTTGGCAGTTGTAATTATTATATAATTTTTCCAGCAAAAAGAACCTTTGTGTCAAAAGAAATCCTCAAAAGTGCTACCTAAAGACTAAATTGTTTGCTTTAAAAAAAACACACAACTTTGCTTTCTCCTTTTAGAGTCCAGAAAGTTTCCTCATAAAACTGACTTCCGTTCTGGAAATGATTTTTGTTTCCAATCATGTTGAGAATCCATTTCTTCATTCTCTCCCTCTCCCTCCCTCTCCCTCCCTCTCCCTCCCTCTCTCTCCCTCTCTCTCTCTCCTTTTGCTTTCCTGGTAGTAGCGGGGAGGAAGGAGGGGTGGGCACAGGAAAGGGGAAAAGAGAAAAAAGAAAAAGAATCGCATGCCCCTGTGTCTGAATATATCCTCTGCTCGTAGATATTTCCATCTGAGTTGCACTTTTGCGTTTTTATTTCCGCTTTGGGACACCTCTTTTATCATCCAGCCAACTGGAATAGACAAAGCACAGTTGGTGCCCTGAGCGACAGAACTCTGGTAGGGGGCTGGCTGTAAATTGACGTGGCAGGGAAATTCTCCGCTAAGTTGTAGCAGCTCGCATGTTTCTCCTAAGATCCAGCCCAGCCTCCCGGAGCTGGGGCTTACTCATGATGGGCTCAACGACTCTACAGAAAAATGGATAGAAAAAGTCTTCAGCTCCGCTCCTTGGACTCAAATGTTTTCTGTTTGAGCATCTATGGTTTAGCTGAAAAAATCAAAGCAGTTAAGTCCATAACTTTCTTTTTGCAGCTTAAACAACAGAATTTGCTGCTCTCCCTCCCCTGTCCTGCAGTTTAATTCCTTACAGATTTTGCAATGGGGTGCGGACTTAGAAAGCTAGAAGACCCTGATGATAGCAGCCCTGGAAAAATATTTTCTACCCTGAAGAGACCGCAAGTGGAAACAAAGACAGAAATTGCTTACGAATATGTATTGCTGGATTTTACTTTACAAGGTACTTTTTCCTTCTATTTTACTTGTTAAATGAAATGTTTCAAAGATAAGGGACTGCTAGTTTTTTGGGGTGTTGGTTTGTTAATTTTTAAAGTGTTCTTCATAATCAGATTGCATAATCAATCTAACAATAATGCTTTGTCTCTTAATTATATATTGAAAGATTTTGTTTTGTTTGCTTTGTTTTTTGTAACATGGTTCACATGTACTTCATAGAATTAGAAAAACTGCTTAGAAATATTTCTTCATTTTTAAATCAAATGCTTATTTGTAGAAGGGTACATGGAAAATGTTTGATTTCCAGGCCAAATAGCTGTAGCCTTAATGACAGTCTGTGTTTTGAAAAAGACCCGAAAGGCACAAGAAGGTAGCATGTAGGAAATAATACTTGCATCGTGTGGGAGTTTTTGCTAAGCCAATTCTGAGGTTTCCAGCTATGTTAAATTTTGTGATTGTGCTAGTTATTGGATATTTTTGACCAAACTAAACTTGAAGTTTGAACATACAGTAAAAAAGAAGAAAAGACAGCCTTCTGTAAGAGCAATTCCTTTGCTTGGTGCCCTGTCCGAAACAGAGAAACTCCCTGTTCCAGAAAGTTGGAAACACAAATAAACAAGCCCAGATGGCAGCCCTGTGGAAGGAACAGAGGCAGCTCGACCTCACAAATACTTTGCCTCACTTCTTTCGGAAACTTAAGAGTACTGTACGGCAGCCTGGATAAAACTAAGTGTTTAAAAAGCAGAACTGTATCTTTAATAATGGGATACTAAGCATGGAACTTAGAGTGTCTTGCTTACCGTTAGAATTTCCAGATATCAGTATTTTAACTTCTTATTACAAAGTTATACCTGTAATTTTAAAAAGCCACACATTTTACCAGTGACTAGAAAGTTTATACTTTCTAAGCATATTATCACATTGGGTATCATCTTAACTTCTTTTCAACTTAAACACAAATTCTCCATTTTTGGGGTCGCTCTGTGAACAGTGCATCTTTGTGCGAGAAACAGGAGCAGCCCATTTTTCTTTGTCAAAAACTGAGCTGGCCAGCAAGCAAGATCCCTTCCAGGGACATACCCAAAATCTGCACTTCTGCTTTAACATACTCACATTTCCATTTTTATCTAAGGCTAAGGCTACCGAAGAAAAAGTGTCAGTATTCTTAATTTTCTTTATAATTATGAAAATTAAAAGTTGATTAAGATAATGGTGATCAAAGAAGTAACCAATCATGTAAATTTGTTTATACTTTTCCAAAAACCATTATTTGAGAAAATTTCTGTGATGTGGTGCTATGCTTTCTCCATTGATTGTCCATGTTGATTATTTTTTAGGACTGGTTTCTGTAAATCCATAGGACACAAACACACACTCTCCTTAAACTTATAACCTTGTCTATTCATAAACTTTAGGCCAGAGCCATTTTGAGCTGCACTTTAAGGTTTGCTGCACCATCCCCCATAGGATCATGGGGCTTAAAGTAACTTGAATTTTTTTCTGATTTATTTCCTTCCCACAGTGTTAAAAATCTCAAGCAAACTGGTATAAATGCAGTCATCCTTAAGTCAGGGAGCTCTATAGCATTTTTTTAGAAGTCATTTTGGTTTTGTTATTATCAGAAGTCCTTCTCTCTGTGAAAGGAATGTAATTTCTACCTTCCACACTAGGGGTTTGGAGGAGGTAACAGATTACTACGCTATATATAAAGTATAAGTATGGCATAGTTTGCAAATGTTAACACACAAAGCAGGCACATATTTTAAACTTGCACATGGTTCCTATTTGGTCCAGGCGCCTGTCTCCTGGTGTCCCTGTTCTCTTTAATTATTCCACATGTTTTTGTTTTGTTTTGTTTTTGTCTTTGACCCAGAAGCCAAAACTGTGCATCACCCAACTCCACACCATCTTCCTCTCTCCTCTCTGACCTCCACCTGCCACTCCAGCTTCCAGGGGAGTGAGTCAAGGGGAGGCAAGAGCGTGCCAGCCTTACATTCAGCCCTGGCGGTTCTGTCCTGGGGTCCTGTGAGGAGCACAGAATAGTGGCCCCTCCTGCCTCTCAGAGGCCACTGTGCAGTGAGCAATCTTTCAGGAAACAAAATGGTCTGGTGACAGCTGTGTGTACTCATGACAAGCCTGTCTCTTACTTTGTCTTCCTCTGTTTTTCCAAACACGGGACATAAGACAGAGAGTAGACGTTACCCAGTAGGGCAGGAGGAGGAGACTCTGAGATTCCCAGTGCCCTGTTATGGGGGCTGTGATTATCTGAACTTATTTATTTTCC